TTAACTTTTTGGACAGCTGATAATGTCACCTGGCAGCCAAACCTATTTCTGTAATTTTCAGCTCACCCAATCAGACAAAGGACGAAGAAGAGGAGAAACATTCATCAAATTACACAGAGGGTTCCATCTGTTATCTTAAACCTTTGTTATCAAGTAACACAGAGGATATGCTGAAAAACACTTTGCAAACAGTTTTATGTTACAGCTTTTTTTTAAATGTTTGTATATAAATTAGGATTATATAGGGGGGAGAGGGGAAAAAAAGAATTAAAAGCTTCTTTGGGGGGAGATTACTTAGCATTATAGCAGCATACTAGTACTATGAGGGGATGGGCTATCACTGAGTTGAAATTGCAGTTTTCGGGTTGGATAGTATGTCCGCTTTGCTGATGTGATGAAGATCGTTTTGCTCTCTTATTAAAAGTTTTGTTCCTTCCCTAGAAAGGACTTTGCCATGCCAGCCCAACAGAAGAAAGTCATATTTTGCATAGCTGGGGTGTTAAGCTTTGCTTGTGCTCTAGGCATTGCAGCAGCTGTCGGAACTCAATTATGGATCAAAGGAACAATACTGTGCAAAACTGGAGCTCTGCTTGTCAACGCTACAGGACCAGAACTGGAGAAGTTTATTGGTGAAATTCAGTATGGGCTTTTCTATGGGGAGCGTGTTAGACAATGTGGGCTAGGAGGGAGACCTTTTCGATTTTCATGTAAGTAACAATGCCATTTGAATTATTTAATACCTTAGTGCATACTATCATGATAATGAGCAGACAAATGCTTCAGTGTGTTCTTATTTACTTTGGAATTTTAACAAGTGCGAAATATTCTACGATCAAATGGTTTTGTTTCTGAAGTGTGTCCATCTTAACATTTAAACTACCTTATTACTAATATTAGTTACAATATTAGTGACAATTTCAATGCACCTGTGTTATGGATTATTACGACAAATAGCTATGTCCCCCTACTTTTTTGTTACTTTGAAAGAATGATTTTGTTGTCTATCTATTTTATGTTCTATTGTGAAATCAACAGCAGTAAGGTAACAGCAGCCTTATTAGAAAGCCAGTGCAAAGCCTCATTTACTGCTTTTGAAGAACATAGCAGCAAAAACTAACAATCTGCTGCATTAATTGGGAAAACATACTGGGTTTATGCTAGTAGCTGTTCAATTAATTGACCTGCAAATTGAATTGGGTATTTGACAGATACAGAGTTTAATGGAAGGAGATTGTTAGAAATTGTTTTGATTTACATGCAATATTCATAACCTGTTCATCTTCAAGGATAAGAAGATGAATAAATTGATCAAGTGAACATACAGTTTATATATAGCAACATATTAAATGGATAATAACAAATGGAGCTTTGTTTTATGTATGTAACTCACAATATGCCACATGAAAGTATTATTACAAAAGACAATTTGGAAGCAGTCTTCTGAAACAGTACTGGTAAATTACTTGCATGAATCATCTGTGGTGAAGTAAGGTTACCAGATTATGCATCAGAAAAGATTTACGATATACTATTTTTGCAGAGGTAGTAGACCAAATTCATTTAGTTTACTGTTAAACTTTGATATGTCTAATTTCCATAACGGGTCTATTTATGACAGTTCTCTTTATTACTTTCCCGGCTGTCACAATATGCTGATGTTCTACCCTGCAGGTTACAGTTTGGGATGAATTTTCAGAGCATTCTACTAAATCCCAAAGAATTAGATTTCATCTGTAGATATCATGAACAGCAAATGATAATGCAGATAGCACAACAGAGCACTGACTGGATTTAGTTCATGTTCATTAAGATAATGGAGTTGTTAAGGACAAAGCTGGGAATCACATGATTGGGGGGGAGGAGGGGTTGTCTCCCCAGCAGCTTGGGAATGTGTGAAGCACTAATGAGTTTTGGCAAAAGTTCCAGCAGAGAGCCTGATTCTGCAATGCTTACACTGAGGAGAATTTACTTAGACAAGTAGTTCTACTGACTTTCACTCAAATAGGGACTACTGAGCATGAGGAAGGGTTGCAGAACTAGGCCCTGAGTTATTAGAACACTTGCATTGTCCTCAGATTGTAAAGCAAAATAGTTATAATACATTTTCCTAGCCTAGGCTGGCTGGGTTCATGGAACTAGTCATTACCAAAATGATTTACTAGTCTGTTCTGAATTGGTCACTTCTAATCTGATATCACTTCTGCTTCTATACAAAGAGAAATTATGAATGTGCTCTTAATAGGTTTGTAATGATTTATAATAATAATAAATCAAAGGATCTGAAAGTGCTTTATTAAAGTGGAGTTTAGAGCTGGGAAAATACTGCAACAAATTTTCCATAAATAGCTACTCCCATTTTAAATGATTTTGCTCCCTTGTCATGCTTGCACTCTTTGAGCTGTTTTTGTTTTTGTTTTTATTTTGCAGGGAAGACAAAGGTGTTTTTCTTAATTCACATTAGCTAATTTGGGTTAGCTAACATGCATTAAAATAGCAACAAAGATGCAGAAACTTGTTTTTTAGCTTAAATTAGCAACTTGTGTTCAACCCCTGACCCCCCTACAGGCTTTATCTCAAGCTGGTAGCCCGAGTTAAAAATCGAGTTGCTGTGCCTTTACTGCTATTTTAACCTGAATTAGCTCTCATGGGTTAGCTAATGTGAGGCCTTGGCTACACTGGCAATTCACAGCGCTGCACTTGCTGCGCTCAGGGGTGTGAAAAAACACACCCCTGAGCGCAGCGAGTGCAGCGCTGTAAAGCGCCAGTGTAATCAGCGCCTGCAGCGCTGCAAGTTATTCCCCTTGGAGAGGTGGAGTACTTGCAGCGCTGCGAGAGAGCTCTCGCAGTGCTGGCGGCGCGACTAGACTCGCACTTCACAGCAGCGCTGTGAATCCGCGAGTGTAGCCAAGGCCTGAGTTAAGAACTCATCTTTTTATTTTGCACTGGAGATATACCCTTTGGACGAGCTTTCTGGGACCATTCATTCAAACGAACTTTACTGCCATAAATATTCACCAAACATTAATTTCAAAGTTGCATTCACCAGAATGTTATTCTTCACACCGACAAGTAACTGCACCCAGAAGTGCATGCATGCACAGCCAATCGATGAACAGAAACAATACTTGGTGAGGTATCTAACTAATCACAGCTAAACACAGTGTGGAATGTTAAAAATTGAGCACTGGATAATCCGTCCACAGTGAACTACATGATCATTCCTCATGGGAAAATATTCTTTAAAAATTCATCAAATACATTTGAGTAATGAATAAATATGAGGAAATTGCAATGTTTGCACATATTTCATAAGCAAAAAAGAGGCTGCGCTGAGAATAATACAAGAAACTCTAGCAAATATTATCATCCCAATTTTACAGATGGAGAAAATGAGATACAAAGATTCAGGATTCTGATTCAGGGATGCACCCATTTTCCTGAGGAAGGGCCTTTAACCATGTACTTAAAGTTTAAGCATATACTTCACTGCTTTCCAGAACTGGGGTCTAAGTGATTTATTCAAGAACATAAAACATAAAACAAATCAGTAGAGAGTCAGGCCTCCTAGCTCTCATTTCCCTAAGTGAACCACTAGTATATGTTGCCTTCCTTTTATCTAAATTAAATATGTGGCATTGCATTGTTATTTGAATAGATTTTCCCCTTGTATTACAAGCCCATTGTAAATCCTATTTACATGCCCAGGAATATTTCATTGTAGCGTCCTCAGAAGAGAATACCAGAAAGTGATTACTGGCACTAGGTGTACATCTATATCTGAAACTGTAGAATCCTGCTAGGATGACCTGCTGCAACCAGGTTACAGCATAAATCTTATAAAGACATCCCTTTGGAAAATCAGTCACTAAATCATTTTTGTCTGTGTGAACTTTCACAGAGAGTGGATGACGGAGGAGTTAATGTTCCCTTTACAAATAACTCAGACTATTTTTTAATTAGCTGAAAGAGCAAATGCATGTGACTTTTGTGTTTAAATATGATAAGGTATCTTAATATGTGCATAAGGAAGGATTTCACCTGCACAGAGCCCAATTACTGAGAGACATTAGTTGACATTCTCCATATCTGTGGGAATACACAGAGTCTACACAAATTCTCTCTGGAAGTCATTATAAATGGCCCAGGAAGTAGTATGATATATGTGTCCACAGTTTAATGAACTGAAGTACACTGTAACACATCTGAGAAGAAACAGTCTGGAAAATAGGTTAAATGATTTAGTTCTATGTTTGTTCCCATTAAATGTTCCCTACTGACCACTATATCTCTTTTAATTGTAAAATGAATTTGGTCTGCCAGCAAACCCTGTTAGGCTGGGAAAAGCCTTCTGCTTCATTTACTCTGGCTGATTCTCATCAGTTTCTGGGTCGGCAGTTCATTTTCTAAAGGTCATTGGCATTCATACCTAGCACACAAATTCATTCATTATAATGAAGAAATATATTTTTTTCAATACAACATCACTGCTGAATTTAATTTTCCTGATATGTCACCTATACAATTTTAAAATTCTAGATGTAGCTGTCAAGGGAAACAGCCAATATAATGCAGTTGTATGTTTACTTAAAATAAAGATTGATCTTATTAAGTATGCAGTATTGTACTTTATCCCAAAACATTCACTAGTGCTGAAAAACACAATTCCAGAGAACCTTATTTGTGACAGAATGTGTGTCCACATGGACTAAAGACTTTGTTTTCCCTAGTTTATGGCTAACTTAATTGGCATAGTGCTAAAATGTATACCATTTACACTGATACTACTGTGATTAGTAAATACTATTTTGGCTAGTAAGAAAGTAAATGTATAATATAAAGAATCAATGAAGGGCCTCATTTTCAGAGCTATGCATGTGCAGTGACTGGGACAGGGCATGAAACCTGGGTATTCGGATGTGTAAATGTCTAGTTAGTGGCTCGCAGCAGAAACAGCATTTGCAAATACCTGATTTATACATGCAATTGTGGTAAATGTTCTTGCAAATTAGGCATGCGATCCTATACAGACGCTCCCCGGGTTACGCAAACCCGACTCATGCAAATCCGGATTTACGGAAAAAGTTCCATAAGTTCCATAAGTCTTTTTTTTTTTTTTGGCGTAATTGTCTGGTATACGTTCCCGACTTACACAAAATTTGACTTACGCAAGGCGTTCTGGAATGGAACACTTGCATAAGTCGAGGAGCGTCTGTACATAGCTTTGGGCATGCACACACATTCTGAAAATCACACCCTAAATAGTAAGGAATTAATAGTAACTGCAGTCTGATGTCTTGAAGGTAGAAAAGGCTTGGCTCCTGCCTGGTGGTGGTGGAAGCATTATCAGAGAGGTTGTTTGTTGCTGATGAACAGCAGTTTTGTAACTATTCTACTAATGGTGATAAGTGTTTGAACTGAACTTTAGGTACATGGGCTAGTTTTAAATGCAAAGTTCTTGATAAGTACTGGAAATATATAAACTGGTATTTGAGGAATTCCTGTGTTAATAACTCTGACTTTATGAGATTTGATTCTGCAGTTGGACACGTTTCATCACAGGATTAGAAAAACAGTGATGAGATTGTACCCCTCAGGGACTATCAAGGGAAGTTGATAGAAAACCATAACTACATAATGCCTTTGTCCATCAACACCAGTCAAGACAAGTAGAGTTTTTATCTGATCTTTTTAATAGTGCTTTAACGTGTTCTTCTCACAGTGGGCTGAGAGGGGGTAATGGGCAAGGAATAGGGAATTTGAGTGCCTGGACTCGCTATAGTGCATCATTACAATTTTAGACAATGTTAAAGGTTACATTTAACAATGCTCTGAGCAAATTTTACAAATGTTTGCTTAAATATAATTAATTTGCTTTTAATATAATCATAGATATAAATGTTGCATTACCTGCTTTTTTATGCTTACTGCATTGCTGGCTGCAAAACTGTTTGCTGGTAAACATTTTACAAGGTAGAGTAATTTATGTGAGGCTCCTACTTAGCTCTTTCTCAGCATGTTATAACCACAGCAAGGCAATTTGAGGAGTTATTACCCCCAGTTTAATCATGCCCCTGTGGATCGGAAGCAGTTAAGTTTGTTTTATGATTAGTTCTAAAATATTTGTTGTCACCAAACACATAAGTGATTAAAAATTACTTATAGAAAATCTGATTCACTATCCACCCTGACCTGGGTAGGTATGGTCATAATTTGAACTAATAGCTAAGACCTAATACAAAAGATGCTAAAACTATATATAATTCCTAACATTTTATTTTATACTGTGTCTGATAAAATATGCCTTGTTTTTATCTAAGCCTCAACATCGTTTCCAGTTTTGCAGGCACAGTTTTTATCCTTCAGTAATAATTAAGTATGGGTGCAAAACTGCAGGCATAATTGTGCCCATGTTTATACGGATTTAGATGGGTAACTGCTTGCTTTGTAGATGCCTTTAGATAGTCAGGACAAAGAGCACAATTGCACATGCAACAAATTGTAGCCAAAATATTGAGGCCATTTTTAAAAAACAAATATAGACTTCCAAGTTAGTGCTGCTTAATGAGTTATTACATACAGACTACTGTGCCTTGTAACAAGTAGCAAAGCAACAACCTCCCTTCAGACTCCATGGGCCAAAATTCACCCATAAGAGGATGCAATCTGACCAAACTGATTGAGTTAGAGGCAGAGGTGAAAGTAAGCCAGTATGGTCTGGGACGGTGTACCGGCAAGAGCTGGTACACCGCTGACCGTATCGGCAGGGGGCAGCTTCCCCAGGCTGGCGATTTAAAGGGCCTGGGGCTCCCACCACCGCTACTGCAGAGGAGCCCTGGCCCTTTAAATCACAGTCAGAGCCCCGCTGCCGGAGCCCTGGGGTCACAGTGGCAGCCAGAAGCCCCAGGGCTCGGGTGGCGATTTAAAGGACCTGGGGCTCCCCGCAGCAGCCAGAGCCCTGGCCCTTTAAATCACCGCCAGAGCCACACTGTCACAGCCCCAGGGTAGCGGCGGTGGCCGGGGGCTCCAGCAGTGATTTAAAGGGCCCGGGGTTCCCGCTACCACAGCAGAGCCCCTGGCCCTTTAAATCGCCGCCAGAGCCCCGCTGCCAGAGCCCGAGGGTAGCAGCGGCAGCCGGGAGCCGATTTAAAGGGCCCGGGGATTTAAAGGCCACGCCTTTTCTGGTTGAGGCCCCGCCTATTCTGGATGAGGGCTCGCCCCCATGCTCTGGACTCTGGTGTACCAGTAAGTCCTTTAAGTTACTTTCACCCCTGGTTAGAGGTGTAAAATCAGCATGAGTCAGAGCAGAAAAAGGCCCACAATATCTATACATCTTATTTTGCCACCAGTTCCTTCTTCCTTTATTTTGGCATCCTATTTTTTTTTAATTATGGTTTCACTGTTTCCTTTTACTTCTCCTTTAATTCTCTCCCTCTTTTACATGCAGAACTATGTTTTCAGACCCAAAATGTTCCATTAAATGTTTTACTTAAAAAAAACTCAGGGGAAGTGTTCTGATCTTATAAAATACCCTTAATCTTTTGTCAGTTCCTCGTTTCAGGAGGCCATTCGGAGAATTCATGAAGGGAGATTCTCTAATGTAAACCTAGTGCATTTGTTCCAGTACATTGTTATAGTCCATAAACAAAAAACTTTATTTAAAAGGGACTGAAGTTGGTTAACTGTGATATTCCTCCAATGCAAAGCAAGGAAATACCAATTTTGCACTGAACCTCTTTGAGGAAGATTCAGGAACCTTGATAACAGCAAAGGCAACGTTATTACCCTCACACTTTCATAGAGCTCAGTCTTCCTTTTTCCTCTTTCTTCTCTTCCTCCCCAGTGCATCCTGGGAATTGTAATTCCTGGTTTCAAGGCCACGGGAACAAATTAGGAACAACTTACAAACACAAACTAGGGTAGCTATCTGCATCTAGGTAGATACAACTCAGCCTTTCCCTTAATAATAACCATTGTAAAACTTTAAACAGTTGTTTCCAAACCATGACTTGAGTCTGCTAGCAAAGTCTTCCAATCTTTGTCTCACGCTTCTCCTAATACCTAGAAAGGCAGGAACAAGACCAAGCAGTGGAGCAATTCTTCCCAATAATAATAATGGACAAATCTATAGTAGTGTCATTGATGTTCTCTGGTCCAAGGTGGAAAATTAGCACTCTATTCTTCAGCTGCTGGCTGATGAGCTGTGGACAATCTTGAAATGTTCCATTTCTTTCTATCTATTAACACAGCAGAATCTCATTGGCTTTCTGCTATCTGCAAAGCACATGAATATCTTGAATGTCCTTTTTAACTCTGTGTGGTAGCTTCACACAATCTACAATTTGAAACTTGTGAGGTTTAGCACCTTTTTTATCATCTACATACTGTCTGTATTTCTGCTGTTTATTCTTAACACATTCACAAATAGTTTCATCGGAAGGTTTAATTGAAAAGGAAGAACATGTGAGCCTGACAGGTAGTAAGCTGTGTATTGGCCTGGTGTCCTCTGAACAGTTCAAAGGTTGATACTCCAGTTGTTGAGTGGGGAGTGGTCCTGTAAGCAAACAGTGTTTCAAGTAAAGCTTTCAAACTGATAAGTTGCAAACATTCTTTCACCAGTATGTTCATTCTCTCAACTAGACCATTAGCTCTAGGATGATATAAACAAACAGTTTTGTGCTTGATACTATTGCAAGTGAGGGAGTGTTGCATTTCAACAGAGGTCAATTGCATTCCATTGTCAGATACCAATTCCTTGGGAAATCCTTCTTGGAAGAAGACTGATGACATGAACTTAATCACTCATTAAGTGGTAACCATTCCAGTGAATGTATCTTCCAGACACTTTGAATGAGTCTAACATTACTATGGCAAACCTTTGCATAACATGCTGATCTTCAAATGGTCCTATTATGTTGAGAGCCATTTTCTCCCATGGACAGCTTGGATAGTCAACTACTATGAGAAGGATGCTGAAGGTTTTCTGTGACTTATCTCTACTAGCATAACCCATGCAATTCTTCATTATTTCCTCAACTTGCTTGTCCATCCTTGGCCACCAGAAGGCTCGTCACAGTTGTCTTTTGGTTAGACTCATCCCCAGATGTCCTTCATGTGCCATGTGAATCAATCATACTCAGAAGTGTAGGCACAATAAGACAGTCAATTCTCAAAATCCATTCATTTAAAACACGGTACAGTTCATGTGAGATGTGTCTATATGGTTGCAAGTGTTCTGGTGTCATTGTCTTGTAAGGCCATCTATTGAGAATGTAAGCCTTTAGGTCCTGAAATACATTGTTTTCTTTCATGACTGTTGCCCACTCTCAGACTTGCGATCACTCCTAGGGTTGTAGTGGATATTTGCGCAATGACAATCTCTTCATTATCTTTCTCTATTTACACTCATGATAAGGTATGGGCAAATGAGACAGACAATCTACAGTCATAGGCATGGGCACGGGGTGTGCCAGGTGTGTCCAGGCACACCCTAATGCAGGGGTGGGCAAATGGCTCCACTCTCCTGGCGCAGCAAGACGCCGGCCCCTCCCCTGCCTTCCCTCCTCCTCTGGAGCCATGCTGGGGGCTCTGCTCCACCAATATCTAGAACTGGGTCTCTCCCCCAGCCCCTGCCTGCCTGGAGGAAAGACCCCCCCCCCGCGGGTCTACCCCCCCTCCCGCCCCGCCTGCCTGGAGGAAAGCGGCACACGCCTCTCCAGTGCCTGCTTGTGTTGCTGGTGGAGCAGCACATTCCTACACTGAGTGGCTCCTGGCAGCAACTGCTGTCTGCTGCCCCACGGTCCTAGTGCCCCCCCATCCCCTAATGGCAGGACAGGCTGCCCTTACCCTGCCCTTCTGCCCTAGCCCTGAGCCTCACCAATGCCCCAAACCCCTCAACCCCAGCCCTCATCCCCCCGCACCCTAATCCTCTGCCCCAGCCCTGATCCCCCTCCTGCATCATGAACCCCTCATCCTCAGCCCCACAGCCCTCACCCCTGCACCCCCTATCCCCAAACTCCCTCCCAGAGCGTGCACGCCCTCCCCTTCTCACACACCCCCTCCTATGCCCCCACCCCCAACCCAGAGCCTGCACCCAAACTCTGTCCCAGAGCCTGCACCCCTCACCCCCTCCTGCACACCCATACCCTGCCCCACCCTGGAGCCTGCACCCAAACTCCATCCCAGAGCCTGCACCCCAGACTCCCTCCCCCACCCAAACTCCATCTCAGAGCCTGCCCCCCTCCTGCACCTTAATCCCCAGCCCAGGACCTGCACCCCGCCCCCCCCCCCCCCCCCC